CGAGTTGCGGTTCTGGTACGCCGCCATGGTGGAAACGACGTTCCGAGCAGATGCTGCAGAGAGCGCGGCAGGCGAGCGTGTCTCGGGCGGACAATGCAATGCGGTCTCGTTCGCCGGCAGGAATGCTGATCCTACTCAACAAAGAATAGGAGTGGGCACCGCAGCAGAAAACAAAGAAAATCGACGGTTGCGGCTCGGCAGGGTCGCTGCAAGTAAGGGAACAATGCGGTGTAAGAAGGATGAAGAAAGGATGAAAAAGAAAAAAAGATACACAAAAACAGTCTGCGGCGGTGTGGATTTCGATGCGGCGAGCAGCAGAAACCGTAGCGCAGCCCCCGAAGCTGAAGGTTTGGAAGTCGGCAGGACACAGAGGCTGGGGGGATGACGATGTTGTACTTGGACGGGCTAGGCTGCTGTTGCTGTTCGCTCCGGGCAACGAGACGAGTTGGTGGGACACGACGGTTGCTGCAGCTGGTTATCAGACGGGGAACTGGGAAACCGAGCCCAAAGAGCTGAGTAAACAGTTGGCGGGGCAACGGGGGCGGTGCAGCCCCGGCGCACTGACGTGACGGCCCTGGCGAGTGGCTGGGGCGCCAACTGGCGGTGGCTAGGGCGGGTTGTTCCGGCTCCGAAGATGGTCCGTGCATTAGCCGTCTGCGAAAATTCTCCCGGGCTAAAACGCGTGCACGAACTGCAGGTGGAGATTCTTGTGCGTTGCGTATAAAGCTTTTTTTCGTGCAAAATTCTCTCTTCTTCTTTTACCCTCAGAGGTCGACTTCTCTCGCCGCAAAATGAAGAGACTTTATTCAGCTTCCGGGGATGACGCTGATCCTTCAGCCCCCAGCAAATATGTGACACTTGTCTCCGGAGACGGCTTCGAGTTTGTCGTGCTGCGGGAGGCGGCCAAGATCAGCCCGATCATCAAGGGCATGCTGGACCCGAGGAGTCAATTCGCCGAGGCCAAGGACGCGAGATGTGTGTTCCAAGAGATGAGGTGAGAAACGACCATGTATTTTGTGGCCGTGGCATGCGCTGCAAGGGATGACGACAATTCCGTGAGCATTTCTTTGACAGAACGCCGCTGTCTCTACCAGACTCTCATGTCTCGGGCGAGGCTGACAGGCCGGTCTGGTTGATTTTGCACTACACTTGAACTGACCGAGAATTGTCTTGACAACGGCCTTGCTATAACGGTGTTTGAGCTGGCTGACCACATAATAGCGGCTTGGTGCTTGACAAGGTGGTTGAGTACTTCCATTACTGGTATCGTTACAAGGACAGCGAGGACGTGCCCGACATGGACATTCCTGTCGAGCTTTGTCTCGAGCTGTTGGCCGCAGCCGATTACCTGGGCTTGGATCAGTAAGCCATGTGGGAGTCGAGCTATTGGCACTTTTAATCTCACACGTTTTTCACAGGGCCAATATGAGCACGAAATGATACCGCACAGCCATGGAATGTTTCTATCCAGACAGATTATGACACGAAGATATGATACCACACCGATTGCAGAAATAGAAGAGGAAAGCAATATTTCCTCGCCTTAATACTAAAGAATGATGACTTCAGCAGCTTTTTCTCTCTCTCTTTTTCTTTCAGTTCATTGTGACGACCATCTCTCCGACCTCCATTTCAGCATATACGTTCTTCTCTGTTACTCCTCCGTGGGTTGAACGTCTATTAGAAGTGGTAGATTGATAGCTTCCCTCTCACTCTGCTTGACTCACAGTTCTCCCGTTGAGATCTCGCTTTTTTCTGAGGGGCACATGCTTTGCCAAATGATTCGTAGCTTTGTAAATGATTGGATTGCCTCTTGTAGGCTAGCCAGTTCAATCTTCCGCCTTATAAGAGCTTCGAGCAGTGTTAGTTAGACTTGCTTGAACTGCAAAGTAAAAATGTCAAACACGTCCACGCTACGTTAACCAGTCTATTTCTTACAGCATACTGTTGAAGCATCTGTAAATTCGGCGTTAAGGCACTTCATAGTGTTCCTACCGTAGGAGTTGCATGAAGCTGCAGTGGCGTCCTTCCTAAGCTGCAGCAACGGTGTCACATCCGTCATCTGTGAGTCAATGTCAAAACTATGACTCAACAACATCCCTGAATGAATGAAAAATTGGCTGCTGGTTTCAGCATTGCCGTTTCAAAGAGTACATTTGGCCGCATCCACCTACAGATACTTAGGTGAGCGTTTGGACAGCTGTCTTTTGCAGTGGCCGTATATTGCAGCCAGTGCTCTGTTAGTGGACGCCGATGCGCGCTAAGCCCCGGCCTTTCGTCACTCTTTTCCGACACTACCTCAGATATCCTACGACGAGGAAAATGGCATCAGGTGCCTTCGAATCGCAGGGCGTTCGAATTGCTGTAGAGGGCTGTGTAAGTCTTTCTGCGCTACATTTATCCTTACCATCTTTTCCAACAGCGGAAATTGACTGTATTTTCAGGGCCATGGCGCGCTCGACGCGATATATGCTTCCGTCAAGCAGTCTGCCCAGGAGCGCGGCTGGGATGGCGTCGACCTGCTCATCATTGGAGGTGACTTCCAGGTAAATCATCATAAAGATTGGTTGTATCCAGTTGGTACAGGCTGCTAATCTACCCAGGCTGTGCGCAATGCGGCTGACTTGACAGTCATGTCGTGTCCCATCAAGTATCGCAAAATTGGCGGCTTTCACGATTACTACGCTGGGAGAAAGCAGGCCCCATATCTGACCATCTTTATTGGCGGCAATCACGAAGCTGCTTCACATTCCTGGGAGCTCTACTATGGTGGCTGGGTGGCTCCCAACATTTACTATCTCGGAGCTGCCAACGTTCTACGGCTGGGTCCTATCCGCATAGCAGGCATGTCTGGAATATGGAGGGGTATGAACTATCGCAAGCCACATCATGAACGGCTCCCTTTCAATCACCTGGATATCAAATCGTTCTACTCTGTTAGAGAGATCGATGTCCGGAAGCTGCTATTGATGCAGACGCAAGTTGATGTCGGCCTAAGCCACGACTGGCCGCGCCAGGTAGAGACACACGGCAACCTCGACGAACTATTCAGACGAAAGCCCTTTCTGAGACGCGAATCTATGGATGGGTCTCTTGGCAGTGTGGCTGCTGAGTATGTCATGGATCGTCTAAGGCCACCTTACTGGTTCTCTGCACATTTACATGTCAAATTTGCCGCTATCAAAAAATACGATGATGCACCAAATGCCACTGAGGTTACCCAACCTCAAGCAGACAAAGCCGTTGATGCTGCGCCCCCCGTCCAGGACAACCCGGATGAAATTGACTTGGACATGGACGATGAGGATGCTGAGAATACTACCAAAGAAGCGACTACAGGAGATACCGAAAGCAATGCTAAAGATACTGAGGGCGCTACCGGGGAAGTTCCTGACGACTTGAGAGCTCAGCTGCCTGCATCATTTGCTCGGCCTACAGAAAAGGTGAAGCGCATACCAGGCCAGCCAGTCCCTTCAGGTATTGAAAACAAACAAGTCCGGTTTTTGTCATTAGACAAGTGTCTGCCACAACGACATTTTCTTCAGCTATGCGAGGTTCAGCCGTTCAAGAAGGAGCAACTATCTGCATATCCACCTCAAAGCTCTGGTCCTAGATATCGACTTCAGTATGATGCCGAGTGGTTAGCGATTACCCGTGCTTTCCACAAATTCCAGACTTTTGGCGATCCTACGGCCAAAGTGTCTGAGGATTTAGGCGAAGAGAAGTACATTCCCCTGATTGAAGCAGAAAGGGCGTGGGTTGAGGAGAATATTGTGCAAAAGGGGAAGCTGGACGTGCCAGAGAACTTTGAGCAGACGGCGCCTCCATATGTTCCCGGCACGCCAGAGATTGTTCACAAGCAGCCCGATGAGTATACAAGCCCCCAGACCGCGGCCTTTTGCGAGCTCTTGGGTATTGAGAACTTGTGGGATGCTAGTGCCGAGGAAAGACAGCAGCGGAAGGCTCAGGGGCCGGTGAATACACAACTCGAGGGGCGCGGTGACAGAGGGGGCTATGACGGAAGGGGAAGGGGAAGGGGTAGAGGAGGCGGCAGAGGTGACGGCAGAGGCGGTGGTAGGGGTAGAGGAGATGGAAGAGGAGGCTTTTACGGTAGAGGAAGAGGATATTGAGAGACGGTGGGCCTGAAGAGGGCCATTCGTTATTATCCCTCATTGCCGGACAAGCCCAAAGACAGGAAAGAGCAAGTACATGATCAAACTGGCATCTCGTCTAAGCAAGGGTCGCCAATGTTTACCAGAAAGCTGGTTGTGGGGATAGGAGGCTTTGGTGTTTGTTTACCCACTCCAGGCACGGAGTATGTACTCCGTATCTGGATGTGCTAATGCAGGTGGTCTTACATATCGAACTCTGCAGCAATAAGCACGCATGTTCCGCGAAGATTTGTGGATAGCAATTAATGCATGCGTCCACCATGAACGAATAGAAATCCACAGACGGCAATGTTTCCTCATGGCCCATGCGCCTCATGTAGATTAAATTGATGGACGTAAACACGCAGATGCGGCTTCAATGTTGTTATAAACAATTAGTAACAATATCTTAGTAATCGGCGTTGAAGCTTGGACTCCCGGCCAAACGAATTTCCGTGACGGCCATCCTATCCTCAGCTAGGGATGCCAATAGACGAAGCCACCATGGCCGCCAATTTGGCTCATGCCTCTTTACGGCAATGGCAGAATTGCAAAACAGGCGGCGGAATGGAGTGGCAGAAAAACACTAAAAATTATCCGGTTAACCGGATATGCTTGCCTTGTGCGCCAAAACACCGGGATTCTACAATGATGCCTTAACAACTGGGGGTTAAAGGGGGTTCTTTGTCGTTGCACCCGCTGTGTCATCTCATTTACGGGCAAAACTAACCCTTTTCTCTTCTTCTTCTTCTTCTGTTCTCTCGATGAATCGAAAGTTATGCCCAACTAAATTTTATTCTTGTGACGTATAAAGCAAATTATTCTCTCATTTTTTTTTGCGGAGTAGACATGGGGCACCTGCAGAATCTCATGACATGGGCCAAGGCCCAAGGTGTAGTAATTGACGCGATACAGCCGAGCAAGATTCCCGGTCGAGGCACAGGGATTCTAACCACGCGAAAGATTGAGGTACAGTAAATTGGGGCCCGCTATGTAGGATTGGATGTGGCCCTTTGGGGGGAAAACAGGTTCTAATATTCGTGCCAATATAGGCTGGAGAGGAAGTCTTGAAGGTGCCTCCTGGGGCGTTGCGCTGCTTGGACTCAATTCCGTCGAGTGTACGCGAGAGATTGCCCGCGAAGACGACCATCCAGGCACTGCTTGCGGCGGACTTGACTCTTGATAAGAGCGCCAATGCGGTGCCTTGGAAGGCTGTGCTGCCGAGGATGAGTGATTTTGAAGTAGGCATGCCGATGTTGTGGCCGAGAGAGCTGAAGGATCTTTTGCCTCTTGAGCCTAGAAATCTTCTCTCCAAACGGGAGAAGGCGTTCCAGGGTGATTGGAGTGGTTTCAACAAGGCGTTTCCGGGCGTTCCATATGATGAGTACACGTATGCATGGCTGGTTGTCAACACTCGGACTTTTTACAATGAGACTCCCGAGACGTTGAAGTATCCCTGGGAAGATAGGCTGGCCTTGATCCCTGTGGCCGATTTGTTTAACCATGCGGACGTTGGGTGTAGGGTGTATTACTCTCCAGAAGGATACCACATCGTTGCGGATAGCAATTACGAAAAGGGCGAGGAGTTGTATATCTCGTACAGTAGCCACTCAAACGACTACAACCTGCTCGAGTATGGCTTCATTCCTGATGAGAATCCATCAGACGATGTCTACATTGACGATGTGATATTGCCCAAGCTGAGCGCGAGCCAAAAGGCGGACCTCGAAAAGCAAGATTTACTGGGAGAGTATCCCTTGGGAGAAGCGACCGAGGAGTTTCGCCGTACGCAGGCGGTTTTGAGGCTACTTTGCTGCACGACCAAGGAATTTAAGCGATTTCTGAACGATGAGGAAAAGGGACATGATGTTCAAAGCCGAATTGACGAGTATCTGGTAAAGTTGCTGAATGAGTATTTGAATGACATTGTTGCAAAGCGGTTACGGGAGGTTGATGCTTTAAAAGTTGGTTTGGAAGATCAAAGGGCACTTTTGACGAAGCGATGGATGCAGATTGAGGTGATTGCAAGGCGGAAGATTGAAAGGTACCGTGGGAGACGGATGGATACTGCAGAGTAAAAAAGGGTTGGCTTTTTGGGACAAGGGAGTTGGTTTTAATTTATGTGCATCATATAGGCGCGGCATCATGCAAATGAGATATAGAACGGTACAATAAATGAAGAATAGATTGTTTCCTGATAAACGAGGCGTAATGGGCTTTTTACCTGCCCCTAGAGATATAGTTCCAACATTTGACTTACATACAAATATACACTATACCTATGTTTCCTTTCCAAAAGGTAGTCGGCTAACAGACTCTTCGAGAAGCTTAACCTTGTTGAAGTCCAAGTTCCAAGTCATCTTGTATCATATATGGGGCCATACTTGTTGTTTTGCAGTCAAAGTTGTTTGATGAGTCCTCAAGCCACCTTGTCACTCGCTCTCTCTTTTTTGTTTAGATGTAGAGAGCTGATTCTGGTTCTGAGGTATATGTGCCTTCTTCACTTTGGTCGCAACAGATAACACCAGTGAAATATATCCGGATCCGTCGCTTTGTTCTTCGGCGTAGGCACTTTTGCCAGAACCTCGACATTGAACGGCAACCCTTCAATGTCAAAACGATACGCAGAGTAACTCATTGAGATCCACACAGCACCTGGTGCAAGATGCTCCTCAACACAACTCGCCATACGTCGAACTTGCTCTCCTCCGCCACAGGAGATTGCGTCGACGGTGCTCTTGTCAACCACGAGATCGAATTTGCACTCTTCATCATGATTATCAGCTGAGAGCTTCAAATCGGTAGCATCTGCCACGGCATACTTCATCTTTACGTCTCCAAAGGCTTGCTTCTCCAGCTCTCGGCCTCTTTCCGTAGCTAGAGGCTCATAATCGACATTTGTGACGTCCAGAAAGCCGAGATGGCGAAAGTAGTTTTGTAAGTCGCTGGTTCCGGAGCCGATGTGGAGGATTCGGGCTGATGAGGGTTCAAGGTTTGTGAGAATGGGCTTGATGATGGAGATGAATTCGGCAGAACTGAGGAGCCATTCGAAGGAGGTCTCGGTAGAGAAGCGGTCGTGCCAGTAAGCTTGTTTGTCAAAGTCGACTGGCATCCCCCCCTTTTTCTTCTTTGCCTTTTTTTATGTTTAAGATGTGTTTGTTCTTATCCAATGTAGATGACCAAGCGGATAATACAACGATGTTTAACAAAAAAAAAAATGTATACCAAATATGAGAGCTGAAAGCCATTGACAAGCTCGAGATGCTGAATCCGGTCCGGTGCTGATCGTTAAAAGTTTATTCAGGCGATGGGGCCGGGTGGGGCCGTACAATTTTTTCTATCAGCATTATGACGATTCAGTTCGCGGCCTGATAAAAAGCATTTGGTACGCAGAAGGAGTATTGTTAATCAGTTGAAGAGATGTGCTCAGGCAAAAAAGAGTAAAAATAAAATAAAAAGAGAACATGGAAGATTGAGGGCTACTCTCCAAGTGGGCTGCATCGGTGTGAGGTCAATCTGTGTAGGTGTAAACATCACGACTTACAAATTTCAGATTTCCATGTAAGCGTATTTGTTGTTATAACGTAAAATCTATGACACCCGTACGATCATTGCATTGTAAAGTCAAGATGTAAAGTCTTACCATACTTTGAGATAGATTCAAGGGTTTCGATTCCCAATGAATAAGATTTAATTGACTTACATTGAAGACGAGATTTGCATGGTGAGAAAGCATTGTAAGTGCCGGTTCAGTCCCAGAATCTGCTATTCAAATGCCGACGAAGTGGACAGTTGTTTCTCTTTAAAAAAGAAAAAAAAAAACTGTGTCTACGTTGGAAATGCTCATTTAAAAACCTGCTCTCACTACGTCTTCATACTTATAAGTTTTTCTTGGATATGGATTTCAGATGCTACACAAGTCAACAAGGTAGTTCTTTCAACTCGCCCTGCCTTGTGTTATTACTTCATAGTCGGCATCTAAACTCCAAGATACATCAGATCGCTCATGCGAGATATCAACAATAAATCGAAACAGGCGATTATCTCGTGATAAACCAGCCGCATGCCCGGACAGTGAGTTCAAGTACAAGTATACGTACCCCGCATACAAGGCCAAGCACCCAAGCCAAGCATTAACAGTGGCTGTGACAGTGGCAAAACACGCCCTGTCGATCACCTAAAAATAAACAAGTCGTAGGAGGGCCGGCTCTTCTCGTATCTATAAGCCAAAAAGCCACAAAGCCGCATCTGCTGAAGATTGATGTGCGTTGCATCGCGCCTCAGCCACGCCACGGGCCCACTTGCAGCTCACATGCCGCGTCAACAGCTTTGGAATTCGATGTTGACTTTGATTTCGTATCACCTACAACTTTTTGCTATCAACCTGTCCTTTTTTTTTTGTTTGTTTGCTATCTTGCTCTACGAACATCTGTTCCTCTGTGTGCGGTTTCCTCTCTCTCTTTGAGATTGCGTGACCAGCTCATGCAGCAACGACGATCGTTAGACCTAAGCTTGTTTCAAGTCTAAATCCAGCATCAGCAAATCACCACCTACAAAAACAAATTCATAACAAAAAGAGAAACCTCCTCCAAAATGGCGCCGTGGCAGCCTCTTGAAAGCGCTTCCCACCTATTTATTCCTCAAGATGCTCAACACCAGCCTCTCATCCCTCGAAATCTCCAGCATCCCACGCACACTCAGGCCGTCACGTTGGGCGTCATTGGCGGCTACGTCGTGGCCATTGCCATTCTCTGGAATGTGCCGTATCTGCGCATGATTCTGTGGCCATTCAAGGTAATCCCAAGTCAAATCTCAATTTGCTTCATATACACTTACAATGAACATCTCTCTCATATACACTTACACACTTACACACTTACACACTGGTAAAACACCATGATGCATATCACGACTAACACCCGCAGATGCTCGTCATCGCCTTCCACGAATTTGGCCACGCCATCACCGCCATCCTCACCGGCGGCCGCGTCAAGTCCATCTCCCTCGACCCCCATGAAGGCGGCGTCACCCACCTCTCCGGCGGCATCAGCGCCATCACCCTCCCCGCGGGCTATCTCGGCTCCTCCATCATCGGCGCCCTGCTCACCATGTGCGGCTTCGACATCGTCGCCAGCAAAGTCGCCTCCATCGTCCTGGGCGTGTGTTTCCTGCTGACGCTGTGGTGGGGGAAACGCGACTGGCTGACCATCTTGACGGTCCTGCTCGCCGTCGGGCTGCTGGTGGCCTGCTGGTTCATCGTCCATGCTGAGGCGCTGCGCTTCGTGGTGCTGTTTATCGGCGTCATGAGCTCGCTGTACAGCGTGTGGGATATCTGCGACGACTTGATCCTGAGGAAGGTGAATGAGTCGGATGCGAGCGTCTTTGCGAAGCGGTATGGCGGCTCGTCGCAGTGCTGGGGTGTTATCTGGTCCGTCATCTCGGTGCTTGTTATGGCGGTTGGCATTATCATTGGCTTGGCAGCCTTTTCGCAGTCGTTTGCGCAGCAAGAGGAGGACTCTAAGCATTTCATTCCTACTTAAGAATACTCTTTTGGATTCAAAGACGGAAAGAGAGTGCCGAAAAGCGGCTTGTTGGAGTTGTGAATTTTATGATACCCAATGTTAGAATTGACGAGATTGACTAGAACAACGTATAAATTAGAGGTACAAGAAATGAAGCTATGTGCGGTCAATTCAATATGTGCTAAAGTTGAAGCTATATACAGTGAAACTATGAGACAAACATATATACATATATACAATCGTATCCATCCAATAATCAACTCAGGCCGCCAAGCCATACCAGCTCATGTTCTGTCGAGTCCCCAGGGCCTTCTGTTTAATTTTACTTATTTCAAAGCGTTGACAACTTGGGCCTCAAAGCCGGTGTTGGCAAAGAGCTGGGACATGTCCCACATCATAGCACCCGCAAAAGTGCTGCTGAATCCCTTCGAGTACTGGAAGACCGAAGTGAGCTGAGAGCCAGAAACGTAGCCGCGACCAGCGCCCGGGCCAGCGGGAATGCCGACAAGAAGCTTGACATTGGGGTTAGGGCTCGTCTTGGCCCAGGTATCCCAGGTCTGGTAGTTGTAGTTGTTCTGGCTGCTGGTGCCGGGCGTGTAGCCGCTGACGCCGCAAGGGTTGTTATAGAACTGAATCTGGATCCAGTCCATGGGAACGGCGTTAATCAGCGCACCGACAGCAGCGTCGGGGAAGAAGCACTGAGGGGCAGCGGAGAAGTAGTACTTCTTGCCGCCGGCGGCGTTCGAGAGGCTCTTGAGCTGGGCGCCAAAGGCCGGGAGGTTGTTGGTGGTGGCTTCAAAGTCGAAGTCGAATCCGTCTACGATGGCACTGCCAAAGGGACGCTCTGCAGAGCTGCCGGATTGGACAGGACCAAACATGGCCCAGACTTGGTTGGCTGCAGCTTGAGCAGCACTGGCAGAGCTCCAGCCGCCTTGAGTGTAAGAATCGCCACCGAGAGAAAGGAGGATAGTCTTCCCGTTCGCTTGGCAAGTCTTGATATCGGCCCTGAAGGAAGCAAGGTTAATCGAAATTAATATACAGTAGAAATTCAGTTTTGAAAACTCACTCAATTTCAGGGCAGCTCAGGAGCCAAGGGTTGTCGGAGAAGGGAGTGCATCGGTCACCGGCATTGGCAAAGTTGGTCATGGGAGGAGTGATTCCGTTCAAGAAAGCAATGTCGATAACATTGATGTTGGCATCTACATGGCAAATGTCAGATTCAACATGCTTCTTTTCTCAGCTTTTTGGCCGATCGAAGGCTGCAGCATTGGGAACTAGAAGCAGAAACATACCACTGCAGTAAGTTGAAAGACGCTGTTGTGTGCTTTGTTGGTTGGCCGAGTTTTGTCCTATACAAATGCCATGTTAGAGGACTATTTACCCTTTTGAAAAGATATAAAGCATATAAAAAAAGAGTTCTTACCCCAGTACACAGCAATGTTCTGCTTCGAGTTGACATTCCAGCCAGCAAAGACGGATGGAACAAGTGCGAGCGCGCTCGCAAGAGTGGTCAAAGAGGGCATCGCGGCAGAAGAAATGGTGAAGCTGCTGAGTGTGAAAGAAAGATGTTGGCGACGATGAAGGACAGAGTGTCACCTCGACTGGTTGGACAAACTGCTTTTATATCCTCATTTTGAGTTCAAACATGCCTCAACGTCCAAGAAGAGTCTCTCTCCACTGTCTTACCGCGATGCTACATCCAATCTTTGCGAACATACGTAGCATTGAATCGACCCGCTTCACTCTAAAAGCCCAACATTTCTACCTCCGGGCCAAGGGATGAGAGACGAGGGTTATCACAAGCCCATAATGGAGCCATGCTATCCTGGGCAGCTTCAAATAAGAGAGCCACTAGCTTCGGCAATTGGGTCCTTCATCTTTGCTGTTGTAGTTTCAGAGATACCACCAGTCGGGATATCAGCTCCATAACAAATCTCAAGGTGACATATACGTTATCCTAGCGAAGACGTGGGATGGTGGCATTTGAAAGGTGCGTGACGAGGCCAGATTGGTTAACGCTCCGAAACATCAGGGGTTCTAGCTACTACTCAGATACAACGTACGAAGTACTCGGTAGTAGTACCGACAAAAGTTGCCAAGCTTTACTGCTGCATGAATATTGCTGCCTGTCTTATGCGACTGCCAGAGCTTTGATAATGGCTTTCTCACGCACTGGTACAATGTGTAGATGAAGCGAAGCTCCACATATGTTTGTGCGAGTTTGTATACGTGCGTGGAAATGTCATTGCCCACAAAGTGTCACTACAAGTAACTGAGATGTTAATATAGAGAAACAGAACAAATGGCAATGAGAGTCTATTAGGATCTTGATTTTTAGTAAGGGTTGCGGAGGGACTGGGATGTGATATCTCCTACCTACTTGGGCAGAGCCTAGAACCAGCATCGAGTAAGTTCAATAGTATCCCTTCGAAGCGCCCCAAAACGCCATGGAATCTAGATCCTAGTTAAGGTCCAACATGGGTCAGTCGATAAGCAACAGTTAAGCTTGAGTGCGCCCCCCGGCATCTCGATCCGAAGTGCTAGTATAGTCGTCAACGTTAGTAAGTAGCAGTCTTGAAAATGATTCCAGGCCGCCAATCTTGCTCAGCAGATCCAAGTTACACACCATTAGCTATCACAGACAGCAGATACTGGCACAAACGAAACGCAAACAAAATAGCTGCGGCTAAAAGTCTCCTTCCATGGTGGCCATGCTCATGCGACGCACCACAACAAGCTTGACACTTGACACCCTTCACTCATCTGCGGCCACGCGCGAAAAGCATGACAAGGGAAGGTTTTGGGCAGATTATAGCAAACAGCTTGGCTCGGATGCCATATCTTTCTCTCACCAGATGGATCATAGGCACAATATCTTGCCGCCCAAAAGGACACCTCCACCAATCGGAAAAAAGCTCAATAAAGCATATCGCTGTAGTTGGCGTGCTCTTGATACGGCAGCTTCCCACTTTGGCATAGGAAGAAACAGATGACTTTTGGGTGAATGACCCCCTGTAGGAACGCTTTCCGTAGGCATATCCCAACAAGGTTAAACTTTCTCGCTGTGAATCTTCAACGTCCAGATATCGTGGGGAAGCAGGCCGCGGTTCGGCACAGCCCGGCTGCCCCAACAGTGCCTATCTCACACTCTGTTTCCCAGCTTTCTGAGTGGTCATAACGATTTCATTTTGTTTAAAAAATCCTGAGGTAGACAAATACCAGAGATGTGGTAAGACTTCGTAAGAGCAGCTACAAGGCGATAATGTGGCCCTTTCTTTTGCCCGTCTCTGCGTATCTTCTTCTCTTAGGACGCTCAACCCAGCTTTCGTCGGCGCTCATGGCCCTATTAGAGATGCATTGCCACCTGCTCCTTGGGAGTGGCCACAAAGAACAGTCATCATCCATCACAGTAGCCAATATGCTTCAAGCATCAATCATATATTAGCCGGCTGCCCACCTTCCATCAGCCGCCAGCCTATTCGGCGCAAGCATCATTTAAGGTAGTGGAGCGATCCTCCGTGGGGTGCTAGCGAGTCGGCTTCGGAGAGAATTGCACTGCCTGTTGCTAAGACGAGAACGGCAGCTTGCGCAGTCTGTAAATATCAAATGCTAGGCCTAGTTAGCTCCGGTCCTCTGGTAAAGATGCTGTTCGATCTTGCTGATCACTTACGCGATGCTTGTGTGGCGCATCATGGCGCTGATCTTGTTTGCTTCTGTGTCTATCATTAGAGCTAACCAGCTCCAATTGCAACTCTGTTATTCAGCTACTGCATCAGCCATTGCCGTAGGTATACCAAAACAAAGTAGGATTCGAAATCAGAGTCGAGAGAAGCCAAGCCCATTTGATACTGTATCCGCAGCCCCGCGTGTTTCATGCAGCATGTCATCCCACGATGCAAGTAAGTAAGTGAGAGATGGCAGAAAATGATCCCAGAGATTGTGGTAGTGCACGATGCAACGTGATCATGTCAATGACCTGCAGCGTGGCGCACCTTCTCAAACCTGCCTTATCAATACAGATATAGTAGCCAGGATGAGACGTTATCTACCGACAGCGATAACCGCTTTTGGCGAACCAGGACATTTTGGTTCAAAACAGTGCTCAAGCCTCGGTCCTTTCTCTCTCCCGCAGTATAGCTTCCATTTTCACCATGGCATAGCTCTAGGAAACACTTACTAGCTTTTCCAGGAAGTTGATTAATGGAATAAATATGAGACACTAAGCTTATTCATCAAGCTTAATAGATCTGTCAGTTTATCTCCTCAATAACAGTGGTGGTGGTAGTAAGCATTTACATATTCATGATATCGAGACCATTTCTCCGCCTTGTCCCCCACCTAAGCCAGCTCCAACCACCCCCAGCTTTTGAGCTCCAGCTGCAGTAAACACACCTCTTACCACGCTGCTAAACATCCCGTTCCTCCGCTGCCGAATAACTCTTCTGTCTCAACATGCACAGCGACTCCATTCACGCACTTCGCTACTGTCATGTGCTACAAACCCAAGCTAGAAAGCGGCCGTTCCTGGCATCTGTCAACTCAAGCCCTCCTCTTAGCTTCTTGGCAGGCCATACAGGATCGGTCGCTCGCCTGTCTTAGGAAGTTCGAGCCTCAAAGTTCCCAACTAGGCCTGCGTTTGCTACAGTTAGGTAACGTTACCTGGCGCCGAGCTACACAAGATACACCTTATCAGCATTTTCATTTCGGTTGGCAGTTCTCAAAGTTGTATATATTTGTATACCAATGTATCTGTGTAATAATGTCCGTCAGTCTCTCGTCAAGACATGACCTACTTCATAACTGAGAGAGAAGAGAAACATCAGCTCCTTTTGCTGTTCTCCATCATGTAAAATAGTTTGGAGCTGGTGACGGCAAAGGTCTTGGGACTTTGAATCTTATCGATGCCTGTCGTCATCATAACAAGTTTAGCTCCACTGTTCGAACATTTTGATGATCAAGATCAAAGTGTCTTCACCGTGGCGTCGTCTCCTCCCATCGTTGCTCGTAAATGACACCTTGCTTCCGCTCAGTAATCGATACATTGTTGATTCCGGTGGTATGTCATCACGTATGTGATGTTCTTGTCGCTCTTTTAAGCTGGCCTGCGTCTAAAATTCCCAGACCCTGTACTCAATCATAATAGCAGACAGCATCCACTGGAAGTTGACTTGTACCCGCCTCCATTATCGCAATAGAGATATCCAGCAATATGAGATGCAAGACCTTGAAAATGCAGTCCCGTCAACGCCAATTGTTCAACTCTTAGTGTCCCGGGAACATGCCTCACGTTGATAGTCATCAGGATTCTGAGAACTCGTGGCTTATCATCATCTTGGTGGTCCTACCATCGGCCACGGCGTCCACGGCCCCCAAATCCGCCTCTTCCACTGCCACCTCCGGCCATGCCCTGATCATAGCCAAAGCCTTGGTTTCCACCAAAGCCTCCACCAAAGTTTTGACCCTGGCTTCCCTGGGCACCCGCACTGCCTCCAGCATTTTGCATACCAGAAAACATGGCTGCCATCTGGGAAGGGTCCATCTGAGAGGGATCCATGCCGGAAGCCATCATCTGCTGCATCATGGCTTGCATTTCAGGCGGGATCCCGTCCATACCAGGCATACCAGCAGCAGCGCCGCCGCCACTACTGCCGCCGCCGCCAGCGCCAGCACCTCCTCCGCCTTGCATGCCCATACCTCCCATCATCATCATGTTGAAGTCCTCCATCATCTTCTTGTTGTTGACAGCAAAGGCGTCGGCGCCAAACTCGCCGCGAATGGATTCCTGTTTGGCAGCATATAGCGCCCATGTGAATTCGTCGAAGCCGTAGTTGAAGTAATCGCTGATGTCTGTGCCTGGCTTGCGCCACGGTTTATCATTGTCTGGCAGATCTAACAGAATAGGTCAGTTATCAACGATAAATCATGTAGAATAAGAGTCGCATACCCTCATCAATGTTGATTTGTGTTATAGGCTTGCCGGCTGCAGGGTGAACAGGAATGGCATTGATATCGATTGTGGATTTGGAGGCGGCAGCTGAGGTTTGGTCTGCGCTTGGGGCGGCAATACTAAGAGCGTTTGTTGTTTTCGAGTCTTCCTCTCTCTTGACGGGCGCCGCTGGCTTTGCGGAAATGTCGTTAGAGGCTGACCGTTGAGGAATATTTCTGATGTCGCTATACTTTGCTTGCCTATTGTCGAGCTGTCAGTACAAAAAGGGCTACATCAACGGGCGCTCGGGAAAGCGTTCGCGCAGCACAGCGTGCTTAAGGTCGACATACGGTGGTGGCGCTGCCTTTGTGCCGTCTTTTCGCTCTGTGATGATGTCTATATCCTGTAATCCATAGAATCAGCAAACGTCTCGTAGCCTATTTCAAGAAGAAAGGCCAAGGTCGCGTACTGAATCGTCATCGTCATCCTCGTCCATGGCGCCGCTCTCGTCTTCCTCTTCGCCTTCCTCTAGCTCTTCCGCTTTGAGCTTCTTCTCTTCGTCCTGTTCGATCTTCGGCTCTTCCGGCTGGTAGAGATCGTCATCTTCGTCCATGTCCATCTTGGCAGCGTCTCAGAGGTAATTTTGGTATAAAAATGGGTTGAATTGAGTAAGATGATCAACTATATCAATCCAAAGTTGAAGCTCAACTACCTTGTAGGTAGGAAGCTCTTCTACAGGCTGATAGGCTGGATAAGCCCATGGTGGGTTCGTCGCAGCACAGCTCCGGGGTTCTGCCGTATCCCTTCATTATCAGCCATTATCAGACCCGCAACAAAGTTCCAGTCCAAGCTTTCGCATACTGAAGTAAAGAGCTCCACACGAATAGACCCTTGACTCGCCTGCTTGGAAAAAAGTTCAGAGCCTCTCTTACAGAGGTGTCATGTCTCTGGCGCGGTCAGCCAGTGGCCCAGCGGGTCTTAGCATTAACACTGGAGCTGCCAATAGCCTGTAAGCTTTGCTAAATCTTCAACACCACGCCTGGGGCCTTCTGATATCGCCCATATTTACACTCTACACCACGTCTTCTTTACCCTCCAACACCTCCCATATCTTCAATTGCTCACGCTTTACACTGTCGTCCTCTTGTTGTTTCTAACTAAACGCGCCACAGAGGCACTGCACAGCCAGCCGCGACGAGAGGGCTGTTTGGTTCTGGTAACGCGTCGGCAAATCCAACAACACCCAACAATATGGCGACCACGGGCGGCCTCTTTGGCGCCAAGCCAGCAGCAACAGGAGGACTCTTTGGAGCTACAACGACCGCGAGCCCACAAACGACCACCGGCGGAGGTCTCTTTGGCGCCGCTACGCCCACACCGGCGACGAATCCCGGCACAACTGGCGGCGGCTTGTTTGGCTCAACAGCGACTGCTCAGCCAGCTCAGGCATCTGGTGCAGCTGGAGGGGGTCTTTTTGGGAGCAAACCTGCGGCGACAACGACAACAGGAGCAGGAGGAGGCATGTTTGGCAATACCGCGACCCCTCAGCAGCAGACACTCACCGGTGGAGGTTTGTTTGGAAACACCCCTGCGGCCCAGCCCAGCGCCACGACTGGAGGTGGTCTTTTTGGAAGCAAGCCCGCGGCGGCGACGACAATGGGGACAGGAGGGGGTTTGTTTGGTGGCACCGCAACCACTCAGCAGTCAGGAGGTGGCCTCTTTGGGGGAACAACTCCAGCTGCGACTGCCACCACGGGAGGTGGTCTCTTGTATGCAATGCTCTATTTTTCGTATTGGAAGATCTTCTCAGTCAATGCTAACAACAATGCAGCGGGGCAACTACAGCTCAACCGGCACAATCCACAAACCAAGTTGCCGCCGTCCAGGTCAATTATGACAACTTGCGACCACGATCGAGGTTCGATGACCTTGCTCAGCCAGTCCAGAACCAGATTGCTCTCATCGACAAAGGCATCCAGCGCGTCATCAAGATGAGGGATGAGATTGGCGAATTCATGCCCCAGCATGAAAAGGATATTGATCAGCTCGGACGAGACGTCCAGTTTGTCGAGTCCAAGTTCAAGAGTGTCCAAGACGCCCTCAACCGCGATATCCAGACCGTCAAGGCCCTACAAGACATGACTAAGAAGAACGTTACCGATGCCCAGCTTTCCTTCAAGGCCGCGGACAACCTCAAGCTACCGACACACTACCACCAAACCGGCCTCTTCGCCGGGCCTCCTCCAACCAGCGACTCCAACTCAGCAGACGCCTCATCGGCGCATGCCAGTGCTCAAGACCTCATTACCTATTTTAACCGCATCTGCGATGACGTTGAGAAGTACAAGAAACGCCTGGACGAATACCGGGCGCAGATCGAGCGCGATATGCCCGGGGTGGAAAACGGCCTCTACGAACAGATCCGCAGCCTGCGCGACCACAGCAACGCGCCGGTTCAGGACCAGCTGAGCCAGGTGCTCGCGGCGCTGCGGGAGATGGGCAGCGCAATTGTCGCCCAGGCTGGACAGATTGCGGATACGCGGGAGAGATTATCACGGCTGCAGGCTGGGTTTTTGGATAACGGCCTGTACTCTGGCATTTCCTCATGAAAGCGCTTACGGTTCTTTGTTTGTTTGTCTTTTTTTTTCCGGGTTTGGGATTTTGCTGCTTCAATATTTTTTGGTATCTGGTTGAAGGGAGATGCGCTTTTAGGTTTAATCATTAGGCGGCGCTTGCTGTACAGGAAGGGCTGTTTATGGCCAAGCATAAGACAGGTTGTCCATTGTCAAAGAACATGTATGACTATGAAGAGGGCTGACAGCGAGAAAAGGGAGTGTCTAGACGGTAAAAAAATAGGGGGGTGGCTGGTGTAGGTAGATATGGCCACAAGTGTGGTCACAAGAGATACCCTCTCTCTTTTCAGAAGATGCAAAATAAACAAATCTGCAAGGGTGAGAGGTTCTAAGCAAATTTGTTTCACTGGCATACTGTGTGACTCATTCTGGAATCATGGTATATGAATTGGGTATATGTGAGTACCTCAGTAGGATTTTATATACATGAGTATGTGGAAACAATAATGAAGAACAAAATGGCTCCAACGATAGTTCTACAAAGGGTTTTCCCTGGTAACCAAAAGTCTTTCGATAACTCGAAAAAAAAAAAACGCCGGAGGTGGTGAAACGAAAAGAGAAAGAAAGCAGGGCTTTTAATACGTTCCTTCGCCATCTCCATCGTCTCCGTAGTCGTCGCCGCCCTCGTCGCCATTGTCAAAGTATCCCTCCGCATCATAATCACCCGCGTCCTCGTCATCGTAAACCTCATCTTCCTCTTCCTCTTCCAAGCCCTCATCATCCTCCGCATCGCCAACCTCATCACCCTCGTCATCCCGCAGCGCATCCAGCCTCTCCAGGATATGCTTCCCATCCACCGGCACGCCCTCGTCGTCGCCCTCAATGGCCGGCATGCCAAACGCCTCTTCCGCATTTGGCAGGGCATTCACCTTGCTCAGCTCCAGCTTGCGCCGCTTCCTCACGCCGCTGGCATCCGCGGAGTCGACAGTGTCGAGCAGCTCGGGCGGGTACATTTCGCGACAGACCGGCCGCGAGGACCATTCCGGGAGCGCGCGTTCCGGGCGGGAGAAGCGCTGCGAGTAGGTTGGCATTGCGCTGAAGGGGTCGACGGAGGCTTTGCTTCTGATGTCGTAGAGGGCGTTCATCTGGTCGCGGCCGTAGGTCTTGCGCGGCGCGTCGGGGTCGATGAGGGAAGTTCGTTTGGATGTGTAGAGCGGCGATGAGTGGATCTGGTGGCGAAGGAGGAGGAAATACTGGACGCCGTTGTACTCTGTGGCGTTGAGGTTGCGAGAAGTCGGAACGACGTAAGGCTGATAAGAGAATGACTGTTAGCAAAGGCTCGGGCTTTGTAGCATCTGTTTCCTTGGATATGCGGCGCATTATCTACTTACTGGGAACAGCTCAGAGGGCCGAGCATCAGGCTCGTCTGTATCATCCCACGGAAGACCTGGTCGTCCACCTCTGCCTCCTCCGCGTCCTCCTCGACCTCCTCCTCGCCCACCACCTCTGGACATTTCCGACAGAGCTCACGTCCCTTGCGCAAAGCTCCAATTGCTCGGCGAGCAGTTATAATTTAGTGCTGACGTATTGATCTTAAGTAAAAACAATGATATTATTAGTTATACTGCCGAATCAAAGACAGCAGTGTCAGAATCTTTCGCTGGGTTAAGGGAAAAAAAGGCGGCAGCTTGAAGTTGGATGCGAATAGCAAAAGCTCAATTGGAGCGCCAACTTTCAGCGACTGAGAAAAAAGTATGGTGGGGAGGGCGGAATTGGGTCCGCTGTGACGCTGCCCCGCTGCCTGGGCGCTCGCCGTCAGCGCATCTGCCTGCCATTGCCTACCCTAGAAATTATACATAGTTTCCAGCTTTATAAGGCAAACGTCTACCACTGTCATTACAAATACAAGAAACAACTTCGCGCTCACACATCATTCTATATCATCGCTTCGCAATAGCTAATATTCTCAGCTTTCAGGGCTGCTGGTGATTGCCAAAATCTTATCATGTCTGAACGCATTATCCCAGATGGCATCTCAGACGCTCACCCCATCTCCGGTCTTGAAGAGTTCCAGACTCATCTGGCAGAGCTCGAGAATGATCCTTCTGTGCCATTCAACCTCAAACTCCTCGACGATATCGAGCTTCAGCTAACAGGTAAAACATCTGTTCATTCATCACTATAGCTCTCCCAGAAAGATTGCTGATCAGCTCCCAGAATCCAACATCCCTCCTCTCCTCCCAACCGTCCTCCCTCCACTCACCCAAATCCTCAAATCAGCCACGCAAGATCCCTCTCCCCTCCTCTCTCTCACCATCAAGCTCCTCTCGCCCTTGACCTTCACCCGCACCCTCACCATTGCCGACCCTCCATCCATCCTCACAGCCTTGCACTCTCCCCTCCCCGGCGCCAACCTCCTCGCCCTCGCCATCATCCACAAGGCCGCCAAAGCACCCACCGAAGCCGCCCTCTTCAGCACCCTCTCAGATGTCGTCGAGGCTCTCATCCGCCGCTGGCTAGAAAGCCCAGACGTCGGCGTCGGCGAGCGCGCGGCAAAGGTACTTGGCGACTTGCTCGAGACGGACTGCGCAACCATCCGGCCAACAGAAGGAGTCAACGGCGCAAGCAGCTATACCATCAACGGTTTTAGCACCAGCACGAGACGCCGTATTCCTGGCCATGGGCGTCTCTGGAGCGTGATTTTCACTCAGCGACCTTTCTTGGAGCTCATCAAGACGCTCTGCTCCCCTGAAACAGCAGACCCTCCTACTCGGCCTCGACACCAAACCTCCCTCTCACAAGGCCGTCTCCTACGCCTCCTTACCCGCCTCGCAGCCCTCGATATCCGTGCCATAAGCATAGCCCACCACCAGGATCTATTCCCCCTTTCCACCACTGCCATTGCCCCCAGTGACCAAGGGTTCCTGCAGTGGGCAGCGCTGGAGATGCTGTCCGGGTCAGACGATATTCTCATGCATCTCAATCTCATTGATTTCTTCGAGACTTTTGTCAGCGTCATGCGCGTATCTCGCCTCACTCCTGAAGAAAATGCCATTGTGAAGAAGTTGATTAAGGTAGCGGCCGAAGGGGATGGCGAGCTGAAGGAGGCCCTGAGAGGACTGCCGAATCGGACTGTGGAAGAAGAAGCTGAGCCTTTGCGTGCGTATATCAGCGATCTACTACGTTGAATGAGCATTGCTGCTTCATTCACAAATCTTTCACAAAAAAAAAAAAAAAGAAAAAATAGTTCAGCGATATGTAGCTACCTATCAAGCAATAAAACTATTTGTGACTCCAAAAAAGGGGTGTCAGATCACAAAAATACTCAACGAGGAGGGTCACATATATCAGGCGTAACTAGAAATGATCATACTATTATAATATTTTATCTCCTATCTGACAAACAGATAGGCAGTCTTTCCTAACATAAGGTACATACACACCCATGGTGTTTTGAAAATAAGAAGAAAGGGGAAAAAAAGTCACACTCGTCTATTATATCCGCCCTCCAACGCCATAAATCGCTGCCCGCACTCGTCATGCCTGACTTACAGCATCTTCCGTGCAGCCGCTTCAGACCTGCCAAGCGGAAGTTCCTCAGCATTGGTGCTGACCGTGCTGTCCCGCCTCTTATCCCCAGCCCTGACCAACCCTTCAATTCCAAGGGATACCTCGCCAACCCTCCGTAGAACCGCAAGTAGCGCACCGCGCAAATCTGCCGTCAAGTCCTTTTGGAGCAAGTCAATGGCGAGCGGGTAGAAAGAGTGCAAATGGGTTTTGAAAGCGTCTTCAGGGAAAGTAGCGAATCCCTCAAGCACATCCACGACGACTGGTCTCCATGCAACAATGTTTCTCTGCTGGCTTTCTTCAGCTAGCAAAGAGTAACCCGTGATAATGTCTTCGCACAGAGGCACCAGAGCGGCTTCGATGTCGGGTCTGCTCTTCAGCCTTTCAGGTGCATCATCTATGAACATCCTGAAAAGGATAGACACGTATGTCGCCGCAGCACCGCTTTCCTGCTTCAGCAAGTTGGGCGGCTGTTTCATGAATCCTTCTCGCCAAAGCTTCATTCGGAGTTCTTTATCTTCGTTGAAGCGGCGAGCGAACTGGAAAGAGCGCTTCAATAGAGCCATGAGTCGCAAGAGCTCGGTGGAAGGGATGTTTGCGTACACGGTGTCGTTGCTAAAGAGCTCGTTGACCGTCTCAATCATTAGAAGCTGCAGGACACAGCGGGAAATGATGCGGTTGAAAAATCGCCGGCGAGCAGCGGTCACGACGACAGGTTGCTGCTGAAGACTAGAAGTTGGTTTGAACTCTTCCAACTGCTGTCCGTTAGTGGCATGAGCCGCTGGGGTCTGTGCCTCATCATCGTCTAGTTTGTGCAGAGTTGGATGATGAATGGACTCTGTGTCGGAAGCGCCGTTCTCCTCTCCGCCATTGATCTTCAACGTGTTTTCATCCCCAGCGGAAGGAGTTTCAGCAAGGGTTGGACTAAGAGGCGAAGTGAACTCCAGCCCATTAGATGACGACATTGACATAGAAGTAGTTGCTTCCATATTTGCCGCAGTAAAGAGTTGATATGCTGTTGTCCGCTCGAATAGCTCACAAAAAGCTCCAACGATCTTAGTCCAGTGTACCAGGTTAAACTTTGTCACGTTTTTCAGTATCAGCTGTTGTAAACAGTTACTACCAATGCGTGATATGGTGTCGTTTTCTTGGCAAATGCAGAGGGCGAGCAGCTCCAAGAATCTGTCCAACATGTATTCCAGCGCATCAAAGTAGTGTGTAAACAGCGTAATCATGTTGCGTAGAGCTTGAATCATGGTAGTGGACAGCCAGACGGACAGCTCTTCATGATTAAGCACGTTTGTCATTTCTGGTCTTGAGCGCAGAACCATGAAGATGGGATAGAGCTGCTGTCGCCAAAGGATATCCCAAAATGGCTGGGTAAACCCGCCTCCGTATTTGAGGAGCGCAGCGAAGAAATACTCCAGGGCATTTGAACGGACTTCAAGGTCTTCGCCAGTCATTAGCACATCATGGAAGGCAAAGAGCACAGGGAACCAATAGCCCTCCTCCATGGACGTTTTTGTCTGCCCCTTTTTAAGAGGTTCTACAGGCCCATCATTCTGGGACGAGGATGTATTCCATGGCTGATGCGACAACGGGCACTCCGGCGTTTTGAGCATTGTTGGAATAATCGATTTCAGCAGCTCCAAAGCGCCTAGACTCTTTTTCTGGAATTTGAGATTCTTCGAAAACTCTGTCAAACAGACAATGAGGTCCGTAAATGCTCCTTGAGAAATGACGACGCCAAATTTTTCCTTGTACACCTGGCTGACGTTCTCGTAAGCAAGATAGACAATGCTCTCGTACGGTTCGCGGGCAGCAACTGTAAAGACACCAAACATGGTCCTCCATCCAGAGCGGATATTATCTCCTCGCGCTTGAATCATTTGAATGAGGCACCGCAGTACCATGTCTTTGACTGTGATATTGTGCGAGTTGGACAATACATGCTCAAATGGCTTTAGGAAATCCTTTTGAAACTTGAAACCCGCAAGCTCTTCGATCTCCATGAATCGCATGGACAGCTGTCGTAAAGAATCCAAAGCAAAGAAAACAATGTTCATGTTGTTATGGCATCCGACCTGGTTGAAGTGCTCGCCAAGTACTACCCAAATATTGCTCCACTCAAATCTCACACGGTTCATGTTGTAGTAGCTGATTTCAACAATCTTTTGCAGACTGTAAGTCCGAGGGGAATCGTTCGAGCCCGAAACCTTGATTTCGTCCCAGCTGACCTCTGTCAAGGCCTTGGCAAAATAAACCATGGCTTCACCCGAAAGGTCCGCTGTGCTGGAGAATATTCGATCGACGCTTCGAATGAGTTCGTCTGAGCGGCTTTCGAGAGCAATCTCGTGAGAAAAGCCCTTGGGGCCAGTAGCAGATCTCTGTCGTGGTCTGTTCTTCAATTGCATAGATGAGCGAGATTCCGATGTCCCGGATCGCTGAGGAGGAATGAAGCGCGCCTGGGACACATCTGGGATGGCGCTCTCATCAACTCCGCCAGAGATCAATTGCAATCGATCCAGCTGACTGATGCACATGAGAATATCCTTCCATGACTCTTGCAGAACATTGCCCTCTGTCTGAGCGAGGTCCAGGATCACTTTCAATGCTTCAATGTTTTTGGCTTGCATCTCCTGGGGGTTGTTCAAGTTTGTGGCATTTCGAAGTGCGGAAATGAATGCTTCTCGGGGCGTTGAGAGATGGAAGAGGCACGCAATCTGGGTTGCCAACCTCATGCCCTCTAGGCACAGCTTATTTACTTCGAGGTTGTGTGCTTTTTGCATCTGCCCCGAAAGCGCTGAGAAGATGGACATCCATGTAATATCAAACATGGCCTCGACATGCTTGAAGGATGTTGCTTCGATGTACTTGGGAGCAGTCTTGGAGGCGTTTCGTCGCTGGCTCTTGAACAAGTTCTTGAAGAGCTGCTCTGAACGCAGCG